CCTTACCTCCGGACTTGACGGAGTCACCTGAAGGTGTACTTTGGTAATCGCTATTGGAACTGGTCGCCGAGTACTACTAGATGTGCCGAGTTTAGGCTCGTTTTGTTAGGTATGATGAGTCCTTATCTCCGAACTTGACAAAGTCACCTGAAGGTGTACTTTGGTAATCGCTATTGGAACTGGTCGCCGAGTACTACTAGATGTGCCGAGTTTAGGCTCGTTTTGTTAGGTATGATGAGTCCTGACCTCCGAACTTGACGGAGTCACCTGAAGGTGTACTTTGGTAAGCGCTATTGGAACTGGTCACCGAGTACTACTAGGTGTTCCGAGTTTGGGCTCGTTTTGTTAGGTATGATGAGTCCTTACCTCGGGACTTGACAAAGTCACCTGAAGGTGTACTTTGGTAATCGCTATTGGAACTGGTCGCCGAGTACTACTAGGTGTGCCGAGTTTGGGCTCGTTTAGTTAGGTATGATGAGTCCTTACCTCCGGACTTGACGGAGTCACCTGAAGGTGTACTTTGGTAATCGCTATTGGAACTGGTCGCCGAGTACTACTAGGTGTTCCGAGTTTGGGCTCGTTTTGTTAGGTATGATGAGTCTTTACCTCCGGACTTGACGGAGTCACCTGAAGGTGTACTTTCGTAATCGCTATTGGAACTGGTCGCCGAGTACTACTAGGTGTGTCGGGTTTGGGCTCGTTTTGTTAGGTATGATGAGTCCTTACCTCCGGACTTGACGGAGTGACCTGAAGGTGTACTTTGGTAATCGCTATTGGATCTGGTCGCCGAGTACTACTAGGTGTGCCGAGTTTGGGCTCGTTTTGTTAGGTATGATGAGTCCTTACCTCCGGACTTGACGGAGTCACCTGAAGGTGTACTTTGGTAATCGCTATTGAATCTCGTCGCCGAGTACTACTAGGTGTGTCAAGTTTGGGCTCGTTTTGTTAGGTATGATGAGTCCTTACCTCCGGACTTGAAGGAGTGTAAATGTAATAGTTCTATTCTATATCTATACCTATCAATTTTGTAAGATCGACACGTCTATATAACACCAGGCCTCGGCCGACAGTGTCTCCGCACAGGCGTTTACGCAAACATCCATACGTATATATCCATACGTATATCCATTATTTCAGAAATAAGAAAATGCGACTTAAAAAAATCTATTAGTTGGACTAAAAAATTAAAACAATATAACGTTGATTAAAACTACTTTTACGGATTTTATCGCGTTTATTTTTGCTTTTAATTACTTTTATTTTTAATTCCCGACGTTTCGGGCGCTTTCCAGCACCCATGGTCACGGGGGACAATATAACGTTAATATGTTGAATGTATAAAAATCAGAATGATTGCATGTATATATTCCACCTAAGTAAGTCACTTATCGGTCAGCCGCCGTAGAGTCACCTGAGGATGCTTCGTTTAGAGGCGAAACACGCGTCATATTATTGTCGATGGTGTGTCTTACCTGAAATAGTGGTGTTGGAAGTAGTGGTGCCGTGAGTAGTAGTGTTGGGAGTAGTGGTGCTGGGACTAGTGGTGACAGAGTTAGTGCATGTAATTGAGGGAGGGCGTTAGGTGCTCCTCAATCCAGGTAAGACACATCATATTTAGTTAGGAAGATTGCAAATTAATTAATATTTTTATTATCCTCCTTTTGAAGTCGGTTAAATATAAATAAAATCTACCAGCAACATTTTCCTCATTACCATACATACATTAGATATTCCTGACTTGAGCTCTGTGGACTATGGACGTGTCGGTTGGGGTCACTCCCGTCACTCCACTCTACTAGCTGATGTACACAACTAAATTAAGTAGTATACTTTATACCCGGCTTGCTGCTTGGTAGTATGTGTTTAGTGGCCGTATTAGTACTCACATTGTGGTGCGCGAAGCACGTTTTCCTGGTTGACAGCAGTTTCACACAAAGTTGGTTGAAAGTTTATCGGACACTTGTCGTGATACAAAGGGTGTTAAAGCTCCTTCCTGGCTTCCTGGTTTTGGCTAACCGTAAGAAGAGTGAAATACACCCGTTGCCTCATAGGTAGTCATCTATTTTAATTATAATTTTTATGTAGCTCGTTGCATTAAGCAACAGCTAGGTACTCACTCTAGCGTATCAACGCGCTAGGTGGGGGAGCTTGGTACACATCTGTGCTATCAGTGTTAGCATAGGCATAATGGCGTCGTTTACAAATGACGATTTCGCAGATTTCCTGCGTCGAACCTTCCCCAACATATTGGTTGGCGTACTTCATGCAACGCTAGGACATGCCGATTTGTCACAAGGAAAAACCCTCTCTCCTCCCTCCATCCCGATTTCACCGGCTTCGTTTGCGTCGTAGAACGACGCTGCTTCATCCATGCCTTCCACGATGTCGACCCGCGGCCCCACTCCGGACTACTCGGATGCTGACTCAGGCTCCAAGTCCTCGTCCAGGGCAAAAAGCGCAAGCGCGCTACACCAAAAAAAAGCAACCGAGATAAACTCATCCCCCCGTCCCCCACCGCCGCTCTGGCTAAAAAGCCAGCCCCCCGCGGCACGCGCTCAACCCCTCAAGCCTTTGCCTAAGCCCGCGGAGAAAGGGTCCCCTGCTGAACGTAGGAAAAAGCCGCCGCCACCCATCGTTATTCGGGACAAGACTAAGTGGAACAACCTGTCAAACTGGTTGAACACAAAAAAATATACTGCCCAAAGGTGCAAAACGCCATCCAGGGCATCCGTATGTTCGTCAACTTGACGGAGGACTTAATTAGAGATGATAGGTTGACCAACTCTTTGGGCAGCACCTTGATCTACCATAAGAGATCCTTGCACTGCGTACTGATCAACGCTCCCCCGTTAGCTAACATAGTCTCTATATTATGTAAAATAGCTACGTCCGGAAATCCGCCACTTACCATCAACCGCCAATCGATTTGGCGAATGGTTTCGCTTATGTAAAATCGAAGTGAACCCTGAAAAGAGTATAGCAGTATACTTTCAAATGAGACCCTACCTCAATTGTCGGAACCTAAATCCGAAAAATTCACTAGGCACGAGCACCTTATCAGTGGCGAAGCTAGGACTCCAAACTAGGGTAAGCCCAAGATATGGTTTTGATGTTACACCAATCTTGAGCTGTCTCCACTCTTCAGTTTCATATTCAATGCTATCGATGACGTGCTTAACAAAGCACACAGATGTATAGATACTATTGCTAGATAGATTGTATGACATGTCAGCGATTGCATACATGGTTTTACTTGAGCGAAAGAAAAAGTTATTACGTACAATACAATACATGAACAAAAGAAAGGCATGAATAAAGTACGAACAATGTACAAAATTAAAAAAAAAACAAGATATTTATATTCTAAATCGAATCGTCTCTCTTTCTTAAGGAAAGATTTGATTACGTCCGCGTAAAATGTTGGTGAATATTTTAATTGTACCAATAACTGTTTTTCAATTGCGATAATTGATAATTCTGAAATGGATATGAGCTGTTTTTTCTCAACAAAGTTTAAAGCTTTCACCTTTTCCTTGCCGATTAGCACTTTAACACACTTCAATCAAATCAAACAAGGCACACTATTATCCTCCATGTTCACTAAAAATCTTTAATAAAGCATAAATTTTGAATTCGCAATATTAATTCACTCAAGTAAACATTGAAATGTGAAATGAACTTGCGCACTCGACTAATTTCGCACCGAAAACCCGAAATCGTAGTTATGTTTCACATTTTGCCACATGTTAGAAAGGGAGCGATCGTCTTCTCAAAAGCCCGGTAAAAATGACATATATTGATAGTTAAAATTTTCCTTTTTTTGTGTAACCGTATTATAAATTATTTTATTTTATTATAATTATATCATTTCATAATATTAGATTATAAACTGTTTATAATTAGGTAAAATTAGCTCGCTCACGATGCACGCGCAGATAACCTATAATTTAGACAACATTTAGTTCTTAATCCTAAAACAGAAAAATTGTAAAATAACAAATAATGTAAGTCTTGTTGGTTACCCTTATAATAACATAAAATAAAAATAAAGCCGTGGTAGCTCAGATGTTCTCTCAAATCTCACAATACGCAAGCAACCTGCATTCGATCCCCGCCAAGACTAATGAAATTGTTAAATGCAATTTTAAATTCTGGTTACCACGTACACGTGCGGTTAAGGAAAACATTGTAAGAAAACCTGCATATCTGAGAAATAAGAAAAAAAAATTCGAAGACAATTTGAAGTTCGCCGACACACGTTGTGCGCCGTTGCACGCCTGTGCCCAGCTGCGGAACGTAAATAGGCTGTAACTTTAACGTTTTTAAATAAATAGTGTTAAATATCATCTTTTTTCTGCCTTGACTTTCTGCTATTCATGTTTATCAGATATATTAGGTCTTTACCTATTAAGTTGCCGTTTTCTGGGAGAAGAATATTTTTTACAAAATAAGCATTTGCCTAAACTATTAACACACCTTGCTATTATTATGCATTACATATTGCTATACAGTTTTTTGATGATCTTGCCATAGAAGTCTTAAAGTAGCAGAGCCATGCTGTAGCTATATTATGGTTAAAGCACAAATGTGTCAACACAGCCGAGTAAGGCCACGTTCTCGTAGAATCAGCGTAAAATTTCAGCTTAATGCTATTGTGTTTCGTATAGTGAGTGTAGAGAACCATAGAACCTTTTTACTGGAAACGAGTCACTCCGTCTCAACCCTCAGAAGTGACAAAGTATCTACATTTTGATCCATAATAGACGAATGGATCTATGGGTTCCTAAACAACAATATATGGCATTATAATATGTCTTCTGTGAGAGCATGATCCTACCGCTGTTGAACCGACCCATTCGTGCTACAACCATAATATAGCTGCAGCGTAGCTCTACCACGTACAAAACGTACTTTGCCGAATGCCATTATATCGTTATTTAAATATTAACAGATGCACGAAATACTCTATGCTAAATAAATAAAATGTTGTACACCTCTAGCAATTGCGTTTTGCACGTGGCACAAAGTTCTACGACTTGCTGAAAGCTGACGAGATACAAGGAGCCTACGTATCTGCATACTTGTTTAACGTCACCAACGAGAAGGAGTTCCTCAGCGGACAAGATCACCAGCTCAAAGTGCAAGAGGTCGGCCCATTCACGTACCAGTAAGTAATTATTATGACTTGACAAAGTCACATTACGGACCATGGTAACCCTAGAGACGTAGATAGTAGGTACCTAAGCCAAAAAGCTTGCCTCATAGCCCCCCCCCCCTCCCCATTTTCCATAGCGGCTGCGCTTGGCAAGCGGGTTGGCAACCGCAGTTTTTGATTTTTAGTCGTTATTATGGGACATACGCTCGCTTCAACGGGTTGGCAACCGCAGTTTTTGATTTTTAGTCGTTATTATGGGGACGCTGCTGCGCAATCACCTGATTTGTTTCCCTCTGTTGCCTCTTACGACACCCAAGGGGCGATATGGGGTAGTGGATATCTTTACACTGCCACTACACGCAGTGGCGAAGCTTTCATTAAAGCCGAAAAGCCGGGCTTGCCTTATTAAACTTGAATCAATCAATAATATCTATCAATAATATCAGCTAATAAAATAACTCGTAAAATGTTTCAAGCTATTTCAAATTTCCCGCGCACTCCACTGTTCGACACATGTCGCCCGATGACCTCGTATTGCCTTAGCGATACTGCTGCTGTCATAAAAAATGAGTTTTAATAGAGATAATAGTTGTCTCCCTCGCTCGCGTGGGCTTTTTACGGGGCTTTCGAGAAGACGATCGCTCTCTTTCTAACCTATGGCAAAATATTCTATAATGAAATATAACTACGATTTTATATATAGCAATTAGTATAGAGATTTAAAGCCAGGCTTTTGGGAATAAATTTGTTAAAAGCGGAGGCGCGCGGGCAATACGTTTGCAAGTTCATTTCACGTTTCAATGTTTATTTATTCTGTGTGCTTATCTTAAGCGATTTAATATTACGAGTTCAGAATTTATGCTTTTTTAAAGATTTTTAATTAAAATGGAGGATAAAAGTGTTCCTTGTAATGAATTGAAGTGTGTTAAAGTTATAATCGGAGAGGAAATCTTTAAACTTTGTTGAGATAATATACAAGGTTAATAGTGTATTTCAGACTTACCAATTAGCGCAATTAAAAACAGTTATTGGTACAATTAAAACGTTCACCAACATTTTACGTGGACGTAATTAAATCTTTCCATAAGAAAGCGAGACGATTCCACTTATCTTATCTTATCTCTTATCCTTTAGAATGTAAATAATTTATTGGTTTTTTTTTTAATATTGTACATAGTTTGTTTGTACTTTGTTCGTGTTTTACTTTTGTTCATGTATTGTATTGGATGTAAATATTTTTTTTCTTTCGCTTAAACAAACCCAAACGGCTTTCTTCAAAGCCACCGAAGCTATGCAATTGCTGATATGTAATACAATCTATCTAGCAGTGGTATGCCTTCTGTGTGCTTTGTTAAACACGTCCTTGACAGCACTGAATATGAAACTGAAGCGTGGAGACAGATCAAGATTGGTGTATTTTTATAAAACTGCTAAAAACAACAATCTATATTTTTATCAATTCATAGCTTGGGCTTGCCCTAGCTTGGAGCTCTAGCTTCGCCACTGACTACACGGTAAATAAAAAAAAATATAACAACTTTAACATAAATATATAAACACATAAAGACATTTATTCCAACACTTACATCTACATACATGTCACCTTACAATTAAATAAAAAATTACTTATTAAAAAAAGAAACAAAAATAATGAACACATATTATATTATGTCTATGGTAACATATACACACACACATTAATACAAAGAAAAATCGTGTAATATAATGAAGTGATGGAATGGATTGTCTCCGTTAAACTACCAGCTTGCAGCGCTGATTTTCAGTCGGTCCCGAACAAATTCGGACGGTCAACAGTATGCAAGCGAGTAATTCTTTGTATGTTTTCTGTTCTCCATGTGAGATATCCCGTAGACAGTAGTATACAAAGAGTAACAAAGGGAGATAAACAGGGAAAATATAGTGGAAGAGGGCAGAATAGTATGACAATAGGCTAGAATATGGTTGGGATATCCTTGACCCAGAGGGAACGGAATACCGTGCGTCAACTACTTGGTCGTTAGTAATAGAATTTTGGTCACGGCAGCCAGTCTCAACTGGGACTAACACACAGGTGCACTCTCTATTCCCTCTCTTATATTCCGGTAGTACGGTAATTCGACACGACTGGAGAGAGTTCTGGCGCAGGACCAACGACTTGAAACACCGCCAGCTTCCTAACTCCGGGCAGCTACTGAGAATTTTCAGACAAAAAAATCCTATTTTTCCATATTTCCTGATTTTGGCCAAACCTGAGATTCGAACCCGGGACCTCATGATCAGCGATCGCATTTGCGACCACTAGACCGACGAGGTGTCACGTTGTATGGACGTTAGTAGTAGAGGTGTGTCCCCTGAAATACTATAGTGCCTAAAGCTGAATATATACTAATATATAATATGAATATAGACTGATATATAGTACTTGACCTTCGTTTTCTAGGGAGAAACGAATAAACAAAAATTTCGAGCTGGATGAAGAGTTGCAGGAGCTGCGTTACAACCCCTATATTACAGCGACATTCGTACCCGAGATGTCTATTGGTGACCCAGCGGATTTCAACGTGACTCTTCCGAATCCGGTGTTATTGGTGAGTGGAGAGAAAGGAAAAATTAATTATTTATTTGATATACACATTTAAAAAAAAAGAAATATACAAATATAAAAAGGGGCAAATTTAAAAAAAAAACTAAATTAAAAATGTGTTTTTTTTTTGGGTTTTATTTATAGGATAGAGTGACAAAAGAGTACACAGTCCACCTGATGGTAAGTGGTTCCTGCGGCCCATAGACATCTACATCTATCCTCAATTACGAATCAAAATTCAGATGCGTTGTCACCCGTGAGGATTAAGATGGAATGTCTCGTTTCCAGTAAAAAGGGTCTTCGGTTCTCTACACTCACCATACGAAACACAGCAGCGTTAAGCTGCTATTTTACGCTGGTTTTCTGTGAGAGTGTGGTCCTTCCCCGGTGGAGCCGACCCATTCGTGCTACAACCATAATATAGCTGCAGCGCGGCTCTACCACGTATAATATGATAAAACTATTGGAACTAATAAATTGACCGGACTTTATAAATAAAGTCCGTAACTTATTGAGCAGAGTAATAAAAGGATAGGTTAGGTTAGGTTATGTCATTATTCATATTGCCCGGGCATTATTAATAATGCCCTGATTAATAATTTGGTCCATAGCATATTTACAAAGGCCTATTATGTTTCGCAATAATAATTTAATAAAACTGACTATTAGACTAATAGAGTTCTTATTATGTATAACCCATTAACTTTTTTAAAACTAGATAACATTTTATTGGGTAATATTTTTATAGCCGTGAAAGAAAAACACTAACTAATGTAGAGTCAATCGATGTTTTCAATATTTATTTTTTATGTTCACTACAGCACCTATATGATACTTAAATTATATACAGTCAAATTCCTTAATAGCTTAATTTTTGAAATAGACTCCGCAACAAAAATGCCACTTCTTTAGTTTTTGAGATACAAAGAATAAAAAAATAAATAAGCTCTTAACAATTATTTTTTATTTTATTTTATAGGTAAGGGTGACAAACGAGCACACAGTCCACCAGATGGTAAGTGGTTGCTGTGGCCAGTAGACGTCTACATCTATTCTCGATTACGGATCAAAATGCAGATGCGTCGTCACCCGTGAGGACTAAGATGGAATGCCTCGTTTCCAGTAAAAAGGGTCTCCGGTTCTCTACACTCAACATACTAAACACAGCAGCATTAAGCTACTATTTGACGCTGGTATTCTGTGAGAGCGTGGTCCTTCCACGGTCGAGCCGACCCATTCGTGCTACAACTATACTACTAATATAACCGCGGCATGGCTCTACCACGTATAAAAAAATTGCACCCCACATTCCAAGGATAGAATCAATTTTTTTCAGCTGCTTTTTCATGTAGCTTAATATTCAGTTTAGAACTCACCATTCTGCAAATAATATTCAAAATTTAGGTCTTTAAACTATTTCTTCTACGAACTAGATTCGTGACATTCGGACGGACAAACGAGCCATGAGTCCATCTGATGGTAAGTGAATGCTGTGGCCCATAGACATTTACACTTATCAAAATACGGAAGCGTTGCTGCCCCCGAGGGCTAAGATAGTATGCTTCGTTTCCAATAAAAATAAGAAAGGATTGTACGTGGTAGAGCCATGCTGCAGTTATATTAGAAGTATAGTTGTAGCACGAATGGGTCGGCTCGACCGGGGAAGGACCACGCTCTCACAGAATACCAGCGTAAAATTGCAGTCTTAATGCTGCTGTGTTTCGTATGGTGAGTGTAGAGAACCGAACACCCTTTTTACTGGAAACGAGGCATTCTATCTTAGTCCTCACGGGTGACGACGCATCTGCATTTTGATTCATAATCGAGGATAGATGTAGATGTCTATGGGCCGCAGCAACCACTTACCATCAGGCGGACTGTGTGCTCGTTTGTCACCTTATCCTATAAAAAAAATCTCCGGATCTTTACACTCACCAAACAAAACACAACACTGCGCTGCCTGCCAGGACCAGCATCAAATTGATGCTGGTATTCTGTGAAAGCGTGTTTCTTACCCTGTCGAGCCGCAGCATGCTTCTACCACGTAAAGAACTGTTGCAGGTACTTAGTGCAGGTAATGATCACCTGTGGTCTCTCAATAGGCTGTTAACTGAAATCTCAACTAACGCGCTTTTCAGGCAGCATCCACAACCATGTCGACGTATTCATTCTGGAGCCAGATAGCTCTGAACATACTTACAAAGCGATACGAATCTAAGGCGTTATTAACAAAGCGTGTCCAGGACTTCCTCTGGGGCTACGATGAGCCCCTCCTTGCGTTGGGAAACACCGTGATGCCTGGCTGGATCAACTTCAGGAAGATGGGCTTCTTAGATAGGGTATGTTTTACATTGCATACATTGTACTATGTACTTGAATAGACACCGCGAACAAATTTTGTGCGGCAGTGCAAGGCGCGAGGAAAGTGGTACAGAGTAGGTTTTTGTGGCACAGACTAAGGGAGTCCCCACTTTTACCGACGCGGTATTGACTTAAGCCGAGTGCGTATCACCACACTACTCGGCTTAACGCCGATCGCTAATATGAATAAAAGCGATCGGCAGTTGATTCCTTCCAACGGTCATCGCGACGGCTGTTCACATTCGTTCGGCAGTCGACTCACCGTTCGTCATTCGACTCACGTCCAACACCGTTCGGCCGTCTTCTGCGCCGCTCAGTTGCCATCGGAGATGAAATCATGCCTGCGGATCATTTCAACGCCGTTCGGCACTCTCCGACACCGTTCAGCTGCCGTCGGAAACTTAAACGCGTCGACGTGGACGTTTGGCTACTTTCAGCCCACGGATGAAATCAGCTAATCGGTAAATTGCTCGTTTTTCCGTCGGCTACGTCGTGACACGTCGTTGACTCGTCAAGCCGAGCCGATTAGAATGGCGTTAGCAACACACGTATTGCATAGACATAAAGATTTTTCTGACCGGCTGAAACCGATTCCGCTTCGATAAATGAACGGACTGTCATTCTGAAGTGGACTCCCTAAGTCGATTTAAGCGCAAGGGCTCTAATGCGATTTGAGGTTTATCAAATCTGATGTAATGGTGGGGACGATCTTGAACTTGTTCACAGACTGCACACTGTGCACTAAAGCACCCGAAACGTCGAAAATTAAAAATACATTAAAAAAAGTTAATAAAACGCGATAAAATCTGTATAAATTATTTTTATTCAATGTGTAGTGTTCGCGTAAATTTAGGAAATCATTATAACAATCTGTTAATTTAAAAGGTTAAAATTAAACGCGATAGCATCCGTAAAATTTGTTTCATTAAAAATGTGTATTTGCGTAAATATCATCATCATCATCATCATTACAGCCACAACTACATCACAACACTACATCACAAGTTCACTGCTGAACGTAGGCCTCCCCCAACGAATGCCACAAAGCACGGTCCTGAGCCACCTGCATCCATCGACTTGCTGCATGCCTTACCAGATCTACATACCTACCTACCTAGGGCAACACCCTACCGGTACGAGGCTTCCACTCGTGAACCTTTTTTCTCATTCTCATCTTATCGATTGTCGGTTATTCGAGCTATATGATCGGCCCATTGCCACTTCAACTTACTAATCCGTTGTGCTATGTCGGTCACTCTGGTTCATTTCTAAGTTTATCATGCAGAGAATATACATATACATATATATATATATATATATATATATATATATATATATATATATATCCTCCTCTCCATAGCTGAGCGACCTTGAGTGTATAAGAAATCATTATTGATTCACATTTGAGGAAGACGATCAACTCCGGTGAATGATGACTCCGTTCTTAGGTTTTGTATGTTTTGTTTTATTATGTAAATGTATGAGCATCAAATATAATGCCTCTTTTATATTATTATCTTATTTTAAGTATTATAGTGTTATTATAATAAAAAAACATACTTCTTGAAATAATTCTAGTTTTTACGGAATTTATCGCGTATATTTAAGTTTTTAAATACCCGACGTTTCGAACGCTTTACAGCACTCATGGTCACCGTGAGTGCGTATATTTAAAAAGTTAAATATACGCGATAAATTCCGTAAAACTAGTATTATTTCAATGTGTAGTATTTGCGTAAATATAAGAAATCAAAACATACTTCTCTTGCTCCGTGAATATCACCTGCAAAGATTTTCAACATAGTTACACAATCGCACGCTACGTTTTTTTTTTTTTCGTTAATTTAAAGTGACAAACGTGACGAACTTTCAGTCTTTCCGATGGTAAAGTAGCTCCTGCAAGTAACTTCGCTAAACAAAGAATGGTGCAAATACTCTCTTAGGACTAATTCATTTTTGTTAATTCAAAATAAAAATAAAACTATTAAATAACTACAATTATTATTGGGCTAAAATATATACTTAGAGTTTTGTTATTAAAAATGGGCTCACTCTTAACCTCCATTTGGCCCGAGGGCAGGATGTGGTCTACGATGGAGCAAGTTTGCCCAGGAGAAACCTGTTAACATGAACCTTAAAGAGATTTAGCTTATAAACAAACGCGGGCAGGGCATTCCACTTCTTGGCTGTATGCATTATGAAAGGATGACTTATAGCGCTTAGTTCTAATATTCGGAATATCAACCAAGTGTGGATGATAGCCTGCAGTACGTCTGATACTCCAATAGGAGAATGAAGATGACGGAATGAGGTTATTCAGTCCATGGGCATACTCTCCGAAGTACAATCTAGAAGATCGACAAACGAGCATCTTGGCGGCGGTGAGCTAATCTGTGAAGCTTAATTTCCACCAGCTTTTTGTTGCCGATAAGCGAGTTATAAGCAAGTCGAGTGCGGCAAGTTGATATTTTTCTGAGCCATCGTAAAGGTGACTGCAATACTCCATGCATCTTCTGACTTGAAATTTATATAAAGTTAGAAGCTAAGCGTGAAGTTGGGCGTGAAGTTTCGCTTCAACTTATTTAGAATACCCAGATTTTTGGCCGCCGATTATGCTTTCGACTCACTGTTAGCGCCTGATGAGTTAGCACTCAACTTTGTACCGAGAAGCTCTAAACTAAATTAAATGAATAAAAATTTAAAATGGTCATACAATAATTAATTTTCGACCGAGTCAGTCATTGTTGCTATCGTCAACTGCCATTAATGACAAGGCGCTTACATAAACGTGCTTTCTGCAAATCTTCTACTTAAAGTGCTTCGGCGTGGAGAACACATTTTCGCAACTTGACTACAGAACCTTATTAAAACAGGTATTTATACCCTCTGAACGGAACTAATAATTTTTAAACTACCCTTGCAGATTTATATTAAATTATCCGCACTTATTAATTAACTACCGCGCGCCAGTGCCTCAGAACGTAGTCAGTGCACACTATTCTACATCCTTCTAGGCATCCATAAGCAATTCATATCGATTATCAATAAGTTACGCACCGAACGCATTTGTCCATAGCGTACCGATGATTTATAGCACCGGATAGCGAGTTTTTAACATTAGTATAATCATAAGTATAATTTTTTAGCTCTACGATAACACCCGACCCTACAAGATAGAACTGAGCGTGAACGATGAGGATAAATTTAAGATCAAACGTGTTAATGGAGTCAGTGGATTGGCGTGTTGGAACTATGAAAACCCTAGTTTACGGTAAGTACTATATAAACTAACAGGCATAATCATTATTTGTGGATATAAGCTTATTAGTTTTAACATCCGCAAAGTAATAGTTGTTTTTTCTTAAATAGAAATATGGTGAAAAACAAGCACACAGTGCACAACACACAACAAAAAGTGGTAAATGGATGCTGTGGCTCGTAGATTTACATTTATCCTCGATTAAAAATAAATGACTCAAGAAATAAAAGAAATGGCCCCGAGTTCCCGGCGCCCTTTAAATGGGGCAGGGGTGCGAAGAATCTCCGGGAGAAAAACCGGCGACGAGGTTCGCGACCCGTCACGTTCTGTCTCCCGGAGGGGCGAAAAGTGGATTGCGGAAACCCGTCTGGCTACGCTGAATGTATGTGGAGGAATGAATGATAAGATGGATGAAGTATGCGAAATGATGAATGACAGAGGAATAGATGTGTTATGTGTGAATGAGACGAAACGAAAGGGAAAGGATGCCACTGCACATGGCACGTATACCGCGTATTGGTCTGGTGTAGGCGAGACCGAACGGGCATGCCAGGGAGTCGGTTTCATCCTTTCAGAAAGAATGGGTCAATGTGTGAAAGAGTACGAATGTGTAAGCCCGAGACTGCTATGGATACGAATGAAAGTGGGCTTAAAGAAGCTGTTCCTGCTAGGGGTGTACGCCCCAGACATGTCTAAGCCCACTTACATCCGAGAGCAGTTTTGGGACATGGTAAGGATGGTGTTGACAAAATGTAAGGAAAATGAAAATATTATTATGTTAGGAGACTTTAATGGAAGGGTTGGGGTGAAGAGGTCTGGTTATGAAAGGATATTGGGAACGTTTGGTGATGAAAGTATAAATGAGAATGGTGAAGACCTCCTCACCGTATGTGCGGAAAAGAATCTTTTTGTGACGAATACTTTTTTTCGTCATAAGAAGATTCACATGTATACATGGGAAAGAGGTGATGATAGAAGCATGATAGATTTCGTAATTGTGGATGAAAGAATGAGGAGCGCAGTCGTAGATACAAGGGTTTACCGGGGGTCCAACGTAGGGACGGATCATTACTTGGTCTTATGTCGAATTAATGGTCCAACGTGCGCATCACATCTGTATCTACCACTGCGTTACAGCGTATAAGAATAGAGAAGTTACAAGATGAAGATGTGATAGAGAAGTATAAATGTAGACTGAGAGAAAATATTAGATGTTTGAATGAGTTGTGTATGAATGATTTAGACTTGAATACTGTGTGGGATAATATTAAGAAAGGTTTGGTGGATACCGCCACCGAAGTATGCGGTGTAAGTAAGAGAACAAATGAAAGGAAAAGTAATACGTTATGGTGGGATGATGAGGTACGGGTGGAAGTTGAATCAAAGAAGAAAGCATGGTTAGATTTACTAGCAACCAAAGCTGATAATTCTTCTGGTATGAATGATGAGATTGAAAGAAAAAAGGCAGAATTTAGACGTCTAAATAAGAGAGTAAAAGAAGTTGTTGAAAGGAAAAAGAAAGAAAGAACGGATAAGAATTATAGAGGGATATCTGATAATTTCCAATTTCCAGAAGAATGTGGGTTAAGAATGGGCGAGTTAACCGTCAAATGCCTTTTGTATGCCGATGATCAAGTCATACTTGCGTCATCGGCAGAGAGTTGCAAATGATGGTTACATTAATGAACTGGGTATTAAAAGAAAGGGGAATGAAAGTGAACGCAAGTAAGACGAAAGTGATGGTTTTTGAAAGCAAAACGGTATGTGAAATAAGAATAGAAGGAGAGTTGATTGAGCAAGTGGATGAGTTTGTGTATTTGGGATGTGTATTTAGCAGGGATGGTAGATATGATAGGGATATAGAACGACGAGTAAATGCAGGGAATAGAGTGAATGGGGCACTACACTCTATTATGAAGAACCAGAATTTGTCAAAACAGGCACGTATGGTAATTCATAATGCTGTGTTAGTCCCTACTTTAATGTATGGTAGTGAAAGCTGGGTGTGGCAGAAGAAGCACGAAAGTAGAATAAATGCTGTAGAAATGCGGTCTTTAAGGAATATGCTAGGGTGTAATCTGAATGACAGGGTGAGAAATTGCGTGATAAGAGATAAATGTGGTATGCAAGATGATGTTGTGACCAGGATTAAGAAAGGAATGCTTCGGTGGTTTGGTCACGTAGAAAGAATGAATGAGGAAAGAGTGACAAAGCAAATTTATATGGCAGATGTGAATGGCCGAGTCGGGAAGGGACGCCCTAGGAAAAAGTTTATCGACCAAATTGGCGATATTTTGAAAATGGGCCACGTTAGAAGTACCCTTAACCGACGAGCATGTATGCGTAGATATATGGATGTAAAGGAGGCGAAAGAGGTATGTCAGGATCGTGCCAAATGGAAGTCCGTAGTCTCTGCCTACCCCTCTGGGTGACAGGCGTGAATGTTTATGTAAAAATAAAAATGCAGATGCGTTGTCACCCCTGAGGACTAAGGTAGAAGAATGCCTCGTTTCCGTTGAAAAGGCTCTCCAGTTCTCTACAGTCACTATACGAAACACATCATTAAGCTGCTATTTTGCGATGGTATTCTGTGAGAGCGTGGTCCTTCCCCGGTCGAGCCGACTCAGTCGTGCTGCTACCATAATATAGTTCCTCTACCATGTTTAAATATTATTATAGTAATTTAAATAGTATTTTAGTATATTATGTTTATTAATATCATTTAACACAGTTTTTGTATTGTCAACTGATCATTTTCTTCTTTCAATCCTTCTTCGTTGTATTCTTGTGAGTTACTTTTTGGTTAAAAATTATGCAAAAAGGAATTAACCTTTTCAGTACTCGGTGCAACAGTTTCGAAGATGTTTATGAAGGCTTCTCCTACCCACCTGGTCTGACGCCGGAGACACCAATCAGAATATATCGGAACGTCTTCTGCAGAATTCTGGAGCTCGATTATGCGTATACGAAAACAGTGGACTACGGCCCAGAAGGTTACCTCTACAAGATCAGTAACCGCACCTACACAATGAACCCTGACAAAAAATGTTTATGCAATCGACTAGGATGCGTCGATGGACTGTCCGACTTGTCGCCTTGCTTTTATGGTTTGTTTAATTTAATTTTTTTTATTATGTGGGAGCAGCTATGCAGGTCTAGGGAAAGAGACCAGTGTCACTGCGACTTAAAAGATCTATTGTGATCGCTGCTACGAGTATGGCTATAGTTCACTGCTAAGCCCTATGTCTTCAATGAATAGAAGGAGTTGCTTAGCCGTGAGCAATTTCACTTCTTCTGAGCGGAGTAGATAGTGTCCCAGATGAGTGTTACGTTTGCGCATTATGGGTCCGCAATCAGTTAGGATGTGCAGAGGCGTTTCTCGAACTGATAGTTTCGTTCGATTCTTTCGTTTATGGAACAGAACCGACACATCCTTGTTGAGTTGCTTAGACCGACATTTTTTTTTTATCAGTGATTAGGGCTCTTGCCAAGCGCAATTTATTTTTACTTAATTCCAGGGCTTCTGATGCGAATTTACGATCAAAAGCCCGGATCAAGTTTTTAGAATGTTTTAAGCCTGGTGTGTGAGACCAGATCTTAAGTGATTTATTGTGATAAAGAGTTTCAAGGGTCAATCGAGACAGGCTTCCTGAGATTCCACAAAATGACTCAGGTCCAAATTGTGTGCACTTTGAGCCCTCCCGTGCAAGTTTGTTGTTGCAGCTGCCATTAAGCAGACAGTCCTTTGTAGACTATTTAGTCTGTCCGCAGTCATCTTTTGGTTGGCTTTGTTACACCAGACAATAGAGACGTAGGTGAAAACCGGCCTCCGGCATAAGACCATACTGGGACGAAAGTCCCAGTTGTTCCCGACCAAACGACTGCACGTACCTAAAGCAATATTTGCCTTATGGCATACGTTGCTAAGCTGAGAGTTCCACGATAGTTTTTGGTTGATTGTTACGCCCAAGTATTTAACTTCAGTGGAAAATTATATTTTTTTACCATTAAGTTTTGGTTGTACTAATTTAATTTAAACAATGGAGTCCATTGTAAACTGCCAGCTCATGAGGTACCTTGAGGATCACCAGCTGATTAGTGACCGCCAATACGGTTTTCGCTGGTGATCTTCTGGTCTACCTAACTCACAGGTGGGCGGAGGCAGTAGAGTCCAAGGGGGAGGCATTGGCCGTTAGTTTGGACATTGCGAAGGCCTTCGATCGGGTTTGGCACAAAGCGCTTCTTTCGAAGCTCCCTTCCTATGGGCTTCCCGAGAAATTGTGCGATTGGATCACCAGCTTTCTTGCAGATCGGAGTATCAAGGTCGTTGTAGACGGTGCAAGTTCCGATTGCAAGCCTATTAATTCTGGTGATCCACAAGGCTGCGTGCTACGGCCAACGCTGTTTCTTCTGCATATCAATGATATGTTGCAAACCCGTAACATTCATTGCTATGCAGATGACAGCACTGGTGATGCTCTTTACACCGGCCGAGCCAATATTTCTCGGGAAAACGTTTCCGAGTGCCGGGACAACTTGTGTCTGAAGTCGAGTCCTTGCTGAACAAAGTCGGATTGAGAGCGACTAAATACAGTTCAATTTAACCCTCAAAAGACACAAGTTTGCGCGTTAACCGCTAAAAAGAACCCCTTTGTCGTATCTCCTCAGTTTTAAGGCACTCCCCTTGTTGCCTCAGCCAGTATCGGAATCCTTGGCGTCGACATATCGAGTGACGTGCAGTTTCGTGGTCACTTGGAAGAGAAGGCCAAATTGGTCTCTAAAAAGCTTGGTGTGCTCAGTAGAGCGGGACAGTATTTCATGCCGGCACACCGCCTGCGACTTTACAAGGCGCAGGTTCGGCCGCACATGGAATACTGTTCCCATCTCTGGGCTGGGGCTCCCCAGTACCAGCTCCTTCCACTTGACCGCATCCAGCGCAGAGCGGCTCGAATCGTCAACGACCGAGTGCTTTCCGATCGGCTCGATTCACTGGCACTGCGAAGAGATGTAGTATCTCTTTGCATTTTATTGCGCATATACCATGGAGAGTGCTCTGAGGAATTGTTCGGATTAATCCCAGCCGCCAAATTTCGTGAACGCACTACGCGGCAAACGTCCCGATACCATCCACACCATCTGGATGCTTGGCGGTCCACCACAGTACGTTTCAAAAGGAGTTTTCTTCCGCGTACAACCTCTCTGTGGAATAGTTTATCACCGGCGATTTTTCCGGACCGATACGACCTGGGGACCTTCAAGACAAGAGCTTACTCCTTTCTAAAGGACCGGCAACGCACCTGCAATTCCCCTGGTGTTGAGGTTGATCATGGGCGGCGGTAGTCACTTAACATCAGGTGAGCCGCATGCTCGTTTGCCCCTTCTTCTTTAAAAAAAATTGTCCAACCGTCTCTTTTTGGTAAAGGGTATTATAACAGTTTTATCTATATATATACTTATAGGGGAGATATTTGATATAAGGGTATGGTTTTTTGGTAGCTCAATATTTCTTAAAAACTAGTGACTATGGCAGCTAGAAATATTACATGTCATGTCGTACCTGCAACAGAGCTAACTAAGAGCCGCATTAGTTAAAAGTTTAGTATGAACTATACTTTTGTGTAGTAGACGCAACATCTTCACTTACATCTTCACTCAGAATTTCCTTGAATTTTTTTGCTCTTTTATGTTTTTCCACAACGGCCTACATGTCATTTTCATCTTGAAAACAAAAACGAATTTACTTATGCCTGTGTAAAATACTAATGTTATATTAATTGTAAAGAAAGTTAATCGAACCTATGTTAACACTGTTGTTAGGAAAAATTTGGAGGACTCAAAACTCAATTCTCAATTCGTTGCAACTCTGTTTGTCTGGATTTTTTGTCGATTTTATAACGGGAAGTGCTCAGAAGAATTTTACGGATTAATAACAGCTGTTAAATTTCACAATCGTACGCATATTTCTGTAGTTTCGTTGTCAAGGGCAAAAAGTATATAGTTTCTTCTTACTTTACATACACATTCAAGACATTTTTAATTTTTTTTTATATTTTTCCCTTTTTTAACAAAACTTCAAAATTTATCAAATTTCTTCGTTAGATTTACTCATTTTGGCGGACAGAAAAACATTTAAAAATGGCGGGAAAGTGTTTTCTATTTTTTTTTTTATTTTTCTTAATGGCCTACTTATATGTTTTGATATTACAACCAGCCAGAAACAAGTATAATGAGTAGACAGCAGAAGTTTACCCCGACGTATTAGAATCACTACTTTTAGTCAGGAGAATAATTAAACATTTACTCCTTTAAAAAGATTGGAATTGGCCATTTTGAAATCAAGATTGTGTAGAAATTTAATGTATTATTATTAGAATGTGAATTAAATGTAATGTATCTTTTAAATAACAAGATGGTAGATAGCTCTTAAGAACCGCACAAATAACGGCTGGTGCGGCGTTCTGTTCAGGAACGCGCCTTAACCGATAAAGTGAATTACCCTTTTTTAAAGCTAAACATGCGGGAAATAGAGTAAATGGTGCCTTGCACTCCATTGTGAAGAGTCAAAATGTGTCGAAAAAGGCACGTATGGCAATTCACAATGCTGTGTTGGTCCCTACTTTAACGTATGGTAGTGAAAGTTGGGTGTGGCAGAAGAAGCACGAGAGTAGAATAAATGCAGTAGAAATGCGGTCGTTAAGGAGTATGTTAGGGCTGAATCTGAATGACAGGGTAAGAAATTGTGTAATAAGAGAAGAGTGTGGTTTGCAAGATGATGTTGTGAACAGGATTAAGAAAGGAATGCTTCGGTGGTTTGGTCATGTGGAAAGAATGAATGAGGAAAGAGTGACAAAGAAAATTTATGGTGCAGAAGTGAATGGCAGAGTCGGAAAGGGACGTCCTAGGCGAAAATTTATCGACCAAATTGGCGATTTATTGAAAACGGGCCAAATTAGGAGTACCCTTAACCGATGAGCATGTATGCGTAGGTGTATGGATGTGAAGGAGGCAAGAGAGGTGTGTCAGGATCGTGCCAAATGGAAGTCTGTAGTCTCTGCCTACCCCTCTGGGTGACAGGCGTGAGTGTTTATGTTATGTTATATGTTAAAGCTAAACAAAAAAGCAAAAAACTGCCATTGACAAGCAATAATGACGTCTGTCAATTAATCATAATACTCTTGCATGTTGTACAGGCTTTCCTTTCATGCTGTCCAATGCGCATTTCTACGGCGCCGACCCCAAAGTGCACGAGCGCTTGGATGGCATCGCTCCGGTCGAGGAGAAACATGGCGGATCATTCTTAGTAGAATGGGTAAAACGATTATTATACTATAGCTTGTACATATTATAGCTTATTGTCGCTATAACCAACTTGTGCTTGTTCCTAGGATTTACAGATCAGAGCATGCCAAAGCCCTTTTTTTAGGATCTGTTGACCCACTGGGCTGGTTTGTACCAGTTCTGGCTCGTGAGACAAAACTGGTACAAACTAACTACTGTTGTCGCCCCTGTGGATTAAGATCGGATGCCTCGTTTCCAATAAAAAGGGTATCTGGTTCTCTACACTCACCATACGAAACATAGCAACATTAAGCTACTATTTCACACTGGTATTAGGTATTATTAGGCTGTTATTTTACGCTGGTATTCTGCGAGAGCGTGGCTTTCCCCGGTTGAGTAGACCCATTCGTGCTACAGCTAATATACCACGTATGAACGTGTCCTAAGCAAAGCTGCTGACCATATTAGGACTTGAACTCTGTATCAGGTCAAAATCAGCATTTTCCTGTCAAAAAATCCTTATAAAAAGCCCGGAGGAAGTCGGGGTGTTGCCTCCCACCATGCCTCGGAGAGCAGGAAGGGCCATTGGTCTTAATCTTTCTCCGGTCGTGTCGGATTGCTGTCCCATAGGACTATGAGACTTAAGGAACATAAAGTGCATCCTACTTGTGCACAAACTCCTTCGCTATATCCTGTCTTGCGCAAATCTTTAGTCTCCATTAATACTAGCAGCCGTGACCGAAGTTCTATCTGTAGACATTGCATAAGACATTTGTATTTCCGAAAATCATTCCAAATTCCTAGTTAAAAGTATCGTAATTCGTTTAATGTGACTGGTTTTTATTGTTCCAGAAACTCGGTACGGCTTTGATGACGTCGATGACGTTCCAGCTGAACATCCCGGTGGGCGACGTCAGCTTCAACAAGGAGGTCAAGCCCTTCTCCAACATGACTATCCCAATTGTTTATTTCTTAGTGGTGAGAGAATTCATAGTTACTTATATATTGTCGCTGCACTTGAAACTAGTGATGCAACAGACGTCTGCTTCTGCTTCCGCAATTGCGGAAGTTCTGCACGCTTTTTAATATCCGTTTCGTAATCTGTTTCCGCAATTTTAATTACGGAAAGATCTAACTGTTACGGGCTTGAGGTTCGTGACAATAAAAAATGCCGATTGAATTACCAAAATTAACTCTTTAATTCACTTTACACTAAATAAAACTTAGAACACTAATAATTAAATACACTGATTCACTTTATTTCGCTCCGAAGCTTCGCTTATCTCGCCAAATTCAATACTTCCCCGCTCGCATCTTGTAGCGCCTTTAAATACACATTATCACCGAAACATCCAGAATATTCAAGTAAATACGCGCGCCAATTGACTAGGCGCCGAAAGTTCGAGTGTCGAGCTTCTAGAAGCTTAGTTCTTCGTTTCGATACTAGATGGCGCTGTCGGTTGAAAAATTAGTGATGTCATTTTCTGGAAAGCTCTTCTCGCTCCGTTACCCGACACAGATGGCACTAGTGCCAGACGTCAACTTAGGCGCGCAACACTGCCCCCTCCTAAGACATGCTCGTCCCGAGCATTATCGGCCCCATAATAACGCGGCAGACGATCCACATGGACGATCTTAGGAATCTCTCTTGCGCCTTTCTGTATCCGGTAGGTTACATCGTTGATCCTGGTTACAATCCGGTACGGGCCGTCCCATTTAGCTTGAAGCTTAGGAGATTTTCCTTTGCTGCGGATTGGATTGTGCAACCACACTAGTGAACCTTCGTCGAACCCTTTGTTGTTCATTTTGCGGTCATGCCGGGTTTTCATCTTTTCAGACATTTGCTGGCCCGATTGTCTGACGTGCTCATAAATGTCATTCATTTTGTTCCGCAAGTCATTTGCATAGTCGGTTATACTACGGTCTGCAGGCAGCCGTAATTCTCTTCCAAAGTTTGCGAAAGCTGGTGTCACTGCTGTACTTTCGTGAACAGCGCTTCGATATGACAACAAAAACGGTTTTATGTGCTTGTCCCAATCTCGTTGCCGATTGTCTACAACTTTTGCTAGGTACCTCTCCAATGTATGATTAAATCCTTCTACCATTTCATCAGATTGCGGGTGATAAGAAGTCATTCTTGTTTTATGAGCACCCATAACTCGGCACGTTTCCTGGAATATTTGAGACTCAAAATTCCTTCCTTGATCGCTGTGAATCTCTAAAGGTACTCCAAAACGACAGAAGACTTCATGAACTAGTTTATCTGCAACTGTTGAAGCTTCTTGATTTGGAATGGCGAAGACTTCTGGCCACTTAGTGAAGTAATCCATCACAACCATGAAATACTTGTTACCGCTTTCACTCTCCAGAAACGGCCCCGCTACGTCAATGGCTATTCTCTCCCATGATGCACCAACATTGTACAACTTCAATGTACCTCTACTACGAGACTGAGGTCCCTTTACAGCCGCACAACTTGTACATTTGCGACACCAGTCCTCGACATCGTTTCGACAGTAAACCCAGTAAAACCGTTCTCAGATCTTCAGTAGAGTTCGTTTTACTCCCAGATGGCCTCCTAAACAATCATTATGGTACAGCTGTATAACATCCGGTACTCTAGCTTTAGGGACGACCATTTGCAAATGACAGATGTCTCCCTCCAGGGAGAACATTTTACCATTTACGGCACAAAACTCCACCCTGAAGCAGCAAGCTGTCCCATTGGGCCCAATAGCTTTTTAGTGGTCGAACTCATCGCTGAGACGTCGCTCCACTTGGGCTTGGGAGCACTGGCCTTTATCCATTCCAGAATCGGCTTGATGTCCGGATCTTCCTGCTGTGCACGTTGTAAGCTGTCCTTCCACTCGTTGCTGAGGTGGTCTGTCCTGAACATCCTCACGGATACCACTTCCTTACTCTCTTGCCTAGTACAATGTTTGCAATCTTCAGGACAAGGTCTTCTTGACAATGCATCTGCGTTGCCATGAGATTTCCCGCTGCGATGTTCGATCTCAAAGTCGTATTCCTACAGTAGTTCAATCCACCTCGCAACTTGTCCTTCTGGATTTTAAACTGCAATTGCCATTTTAGTGCAGCATGGTCAGTTCGTAAGTGAAATTTTCGTCCCAGAAGATATTTGCTAAAATGCTGCAACGACTTTACCACAGCTAGCAATTCGTTCGTCTTGTGACACAATAGTTCCTTTCCGGTTTTGATAACGACTTGCTGAAGTACGCTATCACGACCTCTTGGTCACCATTCCGTTGAGACAACACACCGCCAAGTCCTATATCACTTGCGTCTGTGTCAACTATAAATTCTTTGCTTGCATCAGGATATCTCAAAATAGGTGTTTTGCACAGACGGTCCTTGAGCTCCTGGAATGCGATATTGCAACTTTCATCCCAGCAGAAATGTCGCTTCTCCTCGGTTAGCTTATGCAGAGGTTTGGCTATATCTGCAAAGTTCTTCACAAATCGCCGGTAATAGGAGCACAAACCCAAAAATGCTCTAATCTGCGTCTTGTCTTTTGGAACTGGCCAATCCTTGACAGCGACGATTTTCTCCGGATCCATGCGGATACCTTCTTCCGACACTACGTACCCCAAAAAGTTGACTTGCCGTTTGAATAGTGAACATTTCTTCGGACTCAACTTGAGGTTGGCACTCTGAATCTTCATGAGCACGCGTTCCAGGTTTTGAAGGTGTTCCTCAAACGTACGGCCCACGGTGATGATGTTATCCAAGTAGACCAGACAGGCATCGCCAATTAGCCCAGTAAGTACAAGCTCCATCAGCCTTTCAAACGTTGCTGGAGCATTGCACAATCCAAACGGCATTACTTTAAATTGCCACAGACCCTTTCCCGTCGAGAACGCAGTTTTCTCCTTGTCCTTAGGGTCAATTTCAACTTGCCAGTAGCCACTTTTTAGATCCAGCGTGCGAAACCACTTTACTCCTGTAAGCATGTCCAGCGTGTCATCAATTCTTGGCAAGGGATAACTGTCCTTCTTAGTAACGTCGTTCAGACGGCGATAGTCAACACAAAACCGCATGCTGCCATCCTTCTTCTTTACCAGTACCACGGGTGAACACCATGGACTAGATGAAGGGTCAATAACACCATCCTTCACCATTCCCTCAATCATGGTTTCCACGGTTAATATTTTCAATATGGACCATCGATTTCAAAGCCCATATTTTTTTTGTAGATAGTACTCACTAAAAGAAAGCGTTTTGCAAAGTTTTAGGTTGCGGAAAGTTACGGTACATGAGATATATTTTTTTAAACTTTTCATACAAATTGGCAAATAACACGCAATTACAACAATTACAAAATGAATTTGACAAATCATTGATGTCAAACGTCCATTAGTGTAGGGTTCCGAATATTTTGAAAGTATCGATACGTACTCGATACCAAGTATCTATCGTATCAATACTACTTGGTATCGAGTACATTTCGTTAATTTTGGAGACTAGGGGGTAAGAAGCCGGGAAGTTGTGCTCCGGCGCTCCATGGCAGCTCCGGCGCTGCGGGATGAGCAGTGCCTCCGCCCTAGCGTAGGGAAGCACAGGCACCTGGGCTTGCCTTCACAGCTTCGGCTTTTTGGTCGCCTTCGGCGACCAGCCTCAGCCGCTACGGCGACTTCGGTGCCTGCGCTTCCCTACGGCGAGCGGGCACTGCTCTCCCTCCGCGCCTCCGGGCTCTTATATACACTCTAGGGGTAGGGCAGACAAGACCACGTGGATAGTGGGGTTGCTCTGATTCGGTTTTGGGTACTTTTTGAATATTAAATAAGTAAGTCAATAAGTAAGTAAACACTTTATTGTAGTAAGAATTAGATAATACAGAAAGTTGCAAACAATAAAATAAAAGTACAAAAGCTGTACTAATTAAGAAATACAAACAAGTTGCAAACAATGAAATACAAGTACTAAGGTGGAACTTAAATAGAGTAAACTTTATTCTACTTTATATACATATATAATTGCACTTATCAGCTCTTCCTATGCATCTAATTGGTTTGTCATAATTTTTCGTCTCCAAAATTAACGAAATGTACTCGATACCAAGTAGTATTGATACTTTTGATACGATACTTGGTATCGAGTAGGTATCGATACTTTCAAAATATTCGGAACCCTACACTAACTGACGTTTAACATCAATCATTTGTCAAATTTATTTTTTGCTGTTATTTACCAATTTGTATGAAAAGTTTAAAAAATATATCTCATGAACCGTAAGTTTCCGCAACCTAAAACTTTGCAAAACGCTTTCTTTTAGTGAGTACTATCTACAAAAAAAATATGGGCTTTGAAATCGATGGTCCATATTGGAAATATTAGCCCCACTTCCTTTTCTCGTGCTACCGGCAATCTTCTTGGCCGTTGAAAGATAGTCTTTCCTATGTCAACATCGTTTGATGGGAATACATCGGCATACCTGAGTAACAACTTCTTCGCCTTGACCATTTCGGTCGGGGAGAGAACGCTGCGACATTCTTCCAAAAGTGTGGTTACTCTCGTTTGTGCATCCTTGCTGGGGGTCTCACTCGATAGATATTGGCACCGACGTAAGCAATCCACTTCCTCACAAGTACCAACCAGCGTGCCTTTTTCTATAATCTGTTCCCGGTCACAAAGGTTCAGCACACGTACTCCTGAGATGTCAGTGGTTCTGACCAAGGTTCGAGCTACTTTCCATGGAAGGTCATTGTTTACACTTTCCACAAGTACACGACGGTGAGCTTGCCCAGCTTTTCGAGGAAGACTAACTGGAACAATCGTTTCCGATCTCGGCGGAAGAACAATCTTCTTAATGCTGTACACGTTCCCTGGTAACGCACCTTCCATAAAAAGTTCCTCCTATCTACATTTCAAAACACCTTGCTTAACGTCGATCTCACAACAGTTATTCCTCATAAAGTCTAGGCCCACGATGCAGTCGTCCATTATATCAGCCACGATGACATTATGCAGGTAGATCACGTTGCCTAGCTTCAACTTCATCTCCTTCTCTCCACGGGCGGGTATACGCTGACCAGTGGCTGTTACCAAATTAATGCGTTCTCGGTTGTATGCGGGTATGAGTCCCCAAGGAACTGACTTATAAGTTGGGAACTAACAACCGTACGAGAGGCTCCAGTGTCTATGGTCAGTTTACACGGCATTCCGTTGACCTCGCTCTTGATGATTAGACTGTTCCCATCATGGGTTTGTGAGATCGAGATAAAAATACGCGTAAAAGCCAGAAAAAAAAACGAACCCCCCCCCAGGCAGCCCCCCTTGGGGCTCTTTTAACATAGCACCCGCCCTGCAGTTCTGGCTTTTACTCGTTTCCCTGCTGCTGCTGGGTGGTGATGTTGGCTGTTGTTTCGCTTAGGGCAGCTGGATCGAAGATGGCCCTTTTCCCCACAGCCATAGCACCTAGGGCTAGGGCAATCCTTTGTTGCGGTCGCGGATTGTAGCTGCTGCAACCTCCCTCACGCGATGGGAACGATGATCCTGCCGCACGGCTTCCACCTCCAGTGCATGGGCCAAGGCGCTCTTAAGCGTCTCGTGATGCCCAAGCCTTACAGCAGCTCTGACTTCCAGTTCGCGGATGTCGTCGATGAATGTCTGCACCATGTTTTCTTCAATGAGCGCAGGTACAGACCGGTATGCTTTTCGCACCAGCTTCTCCACCTCTAGAGCCCATTGCTGCAAGTTTTCGTTAATGCGTTGCACGCGATCTTTAAGCTGCGCACGAAAGACGTGTTCCAGGTGAGCGTCGCCATATCTCGCCTCCAATGCCTCAAGGAGTTGCTCATAAGTCACTTCCTCACCGAGAGCTTCCAGAACTGTTAAGGCCTGGTCGCGCAGGCCTAGTGTGAGAGCAGTCATGGCCTGACTTTTATTCCAGCCGTTCGCCTTCATAACAGCCTCGAACTGGATTTTGTAGGCTGACCAGGAAGAAGTCCCGTCGAACGGTGGCACCTTGAACCCACGTAGCGAAGGTGTTGTAGCTACTACGGGAGCTGTAGTTCCATCTCGAAGTTTGAGTTCGTCCAGTGATTTCTTCACGTCAGCCATTACGTTGTCAACCCGATTGTTTACTTGGTCGATTCGGGTTTCAGCTTCCAACAGGCGGTTATCATGTTAAGCAACCTTATCCTTCACCTCCCGTATCTCTTTTCCGAAGGTAGCGTGCGGGTCCTTCATGAGGAGCATCTGCTCTTCCAACCGACGGGCCTGTTCCTCATGTCGGCGGGCCTGTTCATCCTGTCCGCCCCGCAGCTGCTCTTCCAACCGACGGACCTGTTCCTCCTGTCAACGGACCTGTTCCTCCTGTCGGCGGACCTGTTACTCCTGTCGGCGGGCCTGTGCCTCCTGTCGATGGGCCTGTTCATCCTGTCCGCCCCGCAGCTGCTCTTCCAACCGACGGACCTGTTCCTCCTGTCGGCGAGCCTGTTCCTTCAGCATCACCATCAGAGCACCTAAGTCGGGTGCTGCAGATGCAGGAGCTACTGACGAGTCTGCAGCCGGTGGCTGGCCCTCTGAAGCCTGCAGCGTTGCACCACCAAATCTTCTTTGGTCCGTCTCCTGTTGGCGTTGACTTCGAGTACGGACACCCTCCGTTTCCTCCTTAGGTAAAATCGGCATGATTTAATCCCACTTCTGACACCAATTGTTACGGGCTTTAGGTTCGTGACAATAAAAACTGCCGATTGAATTACCAAAATTAACTTTTTAATTCACTGTACACTAATTAAAACTTAGAACTTTAATAATTAACCACACTGATTCACTTTATTTCGCTCCGAAGCTTCGCTTGTCTCGCCAAATTCAATACTTCCCCGCTCGCATCTTGCAGCGCTTTTAAATACACATTATCACCGAAACATCCAGAATAATCAAGTAAATACGCGCGCCAATCGACTAGGCGCCGAAAGTTCGTTTCGATACTAGATGGCGCTGTCGGTTGAAAGATTAGTGATGTCATTTTCTGGAAAGCTCTCCTCGCTCCGTTACCCGAACAGATGGCGCTAGTGCCAGACGTCAACTTAGGCTCGCAACATAACTTTTATGCGGAAAACGATTGCCTCTACATGAGGATCCCCTGCAATGGAAAAAAATTCAAAAGATCGTAGTCTTTTACCAGTGCGCCAATATTTATCAGCGTCCTAGCAGCGACGCCAGTAAGTTTAGCAAAGTTGGTCTTATATATGAAGAACATCGGAACAGATTGTTAGATATAGGTACAAACGACTAAACTACTTCTCATAAAAAGTATCGCTACCTATATTATATTAATTTTGAATATTGATGTAATAAAAAAATTCTCTGTAAAAAAATTTTTACCGACTTCAACAAGAAGGTGGTCAAATGTTTTTTCGTAGTATTTACACTTTCGTATCCGCATTCGTTTCCGTCTCCGGTAAAATTTACTTTTGATATCGGTGTCCGTTTCTGCTTCCGCTATGACACTTCAGTTACATCACCAAGACTTTTATTATAATAGGCCATTTCATAGACATTTTTTTAAAGAAAAAAAAATATAGAAAGGGACAATAAACCAGAAAAAAAATAAAATGCCTTAGCTTGATCTGTGTGTTTTTATAAATATTCAAATGTAATGGAAATTTATATATCGATTTTCATCCGCTTCCAGACGTCTGAATAATCCGAAAATTGCAGACGTAATAACAACACAATAATTTTAGACATTGGCCTGGCCTGGATTAATGCGTGTTGTTGTAGTTTTTTTTTAAATTCTAATAAATTTAATTTTGAATTCTTTTATTATTCTCCTTAAGGCCGATTGTTATTTATATCCTCAGCTGAGATAAAAGTTATTCTTAGGTTAAAAAAATACAACACAAACTAATTAACAATTACAGTCATATGAGTAAAGTAGTTATTAGTAATTCCCTTTCGTATTCATACAGGTTATAATTTAGTTGATTGAAAAATTAACGCTACAAAACCAAAATTTTATTTGTTATGTGTAAAAATGAGGTTTCTCTGACGGAAAAGAAACTACGAAAGAAACTCTGCAAAAATATTTTAAAAACTACGCTTGGACTCCACTCGTGACTCCCTACAGAACAATTTTTGATGTGAAACTTCTTCATCGACGCAATGGAAAAATTTAGTACGGTATTTTAAAAAAAGTCATGTTCTTTTTTAAAGTTTCACCATTGGTCTGCATGAGTTACCTATTATTGAACCTCCCTATGTAAAATATAGAATAAAAGAAGAATGATATGTCGTGAAGAAGTTTCACTGCGTACGTGTGTACACAATGCCTAATTCCTAACCAAAAAAATATGGGTTAGGCACTAGTCACGCTTGTTGCAATTGCAGCAGTCGTTAGTCTACGTATGTTTATGGAACTCAACGACCCCAAACGACTCTTTCTGTAATAAACCTAAATAGCTCGTATTTTCATTACAGACTCAACCAGAACTTGCGGATAACGTGAAAACAGCGTTTTGGTTCATCTACGTGGCAGGTCCTTACACGATGCTGGCAGTTGAGATACTCCTATTCACGACAGGCCTCAGTCTACTGGCCTTCACAACGCGTTCGTTCTTTTGGAACTTGTACATGAACGAAACTAGCATCGGCTTCCAAGTAGCGAAAACCCCAAACAAACTGAACTGTGAATTACCGTTAATAACTGACAAGGAACAACTATATCAGTGCGTTTCATAGCCAACTGCAACCCTGTGTATTGAACTGAGAACTAGAATGTTTTATTTGGGTGAAAAAGACTAATATTTTCTTGTTTTTGGAAATATTCAACGATACAGCTGTAGTATAGTCGACCAAAAAATTATTTATTTGTCCAAAACTACTTCGTTTCCGGAGACAATAAATTGTAAACAGGGTGACTGGTAGAGAATGTCATAGGGCATTTAGTCCGCCCTTTTGTAACCCATAGGTGAAAGTGTTTGGTTAAAGGAGAAATAAATAAATATGTAATAATCACAAAATTAACAATTACTCATATTATATTACATACATATTACAATTGCGATTATATCAACAGTAAAATTTCAAACGTGTTTTAATTGCATATGGCGTGGTAAATTTGTAGTCAGTAGAATAAGAGTGTCAAACGAGCACAAAGTCCACCTGATGGTAAATGGATGCTGTGGCCAATAGACATGATTGATTAAGAATCGAAATGCAGTTGCATTGTAATGCCTCAGGATTATATATATATTAATGTATGCAGATAGTATGACATCGTAACCGTATAAGCCAAAAATATATGTAATCATACACGTTATGTAATTTTACTAAAATTTAATTCGTCTTCGGAATTAAAGACGAAGTAGGTAGTTACCTATGTACCATAATAAATATAATGTTAATCTGCCAAAGTATCTTTAATAATAGCATAAATATATTAAAAATATATATATAAATAAATATATTATAAACCATAATCTTTTATATAAAATATTTTAAAATTAATATGAGTTAATAGACGGCTCTTGCATACGTTATTTACATACTTAATTTAATTTTTTATTTGATATTAAATTATATAATAATATGGTAGTTAAATATCAAAGCAAACGTTATCAAAAATTACAAGAGATAAATAAAAGTAAACCATTACATAAAATAAAACGTTAGCTGCGGACATTGAAGTAATATGTACTTACGTACTAGAACAGCTATTTCAAACAAAAAATGTGCGCTACTCTGTGTTCGCGCGGCTATTTTTTGTATCATAGAATAAACATAGGTAGAGTGATCCGTAGGTAATAGTAGATTGTATTGTTAAATAGGTAAATTATATCGAGAACAATATTTAAATTTTGCCATTTATTTTGTATATTATATTTGCTTATATAATATAATATTACATACTATTATATCATAATTACATTTTAATGATATTTTTATCAAAATATTTTAAAAGGTATCTATGTCGAATATAAAAACATACTAAATGTATGTTTAACAAAACTAATTAACATAACATTTAAATTACAAATATATTTATTTAAATTAGAATAAGAGTCGTTCATAAATGCTGGGCGTGCGAGAGTTAAAAATAGACGAATTTATTCCACTTTGACTTTGATGTAGAAACCTAATAATAAAATAAAATAATAAGCAGATTTAAATATGAAAAATTTTGCCTAATTATAATAACTTATAGATGTTTCTACAAAAAATATGTGTATGTGAACACAGAAATGTCGCATCTGAGCATATTCATTTCATAATCTATATTCCATAACACGAGATGGCGTCTTAGGAATAATTTGTTTTGTTATTAATCTATAATACTTTTTTATTGATTAAGTATCTTATTAATCGATGAAAAGTAATTCCTTGGTTTTTACTGATATTTCTTGAATTATTTGTGCAATATCTAAGTACACACGACGGCATATTTTTATCAAGAGATTTTTTTGAAATCAAGACAACACGTGACAACTCTACAAGCGCCTAGCGAGTGACTGATTATATTGCGGTGTATGCACCGCAGTAGAGTGGAAAGAGTAGCTGAATGCAGTGTCACCTCTAGTATGTAGTACATAATAGCTCAATGGCTGCGGACAACAATTCCAAAACTTTTGTCTAATGCGTTCATAAATAACTTGTAAGGTTGTCATGTTGCGTTACAAAGAGTATAATCACTACGGTTAGTGCGTTACAATAAAGTTGGGACTTGTAATTAGATCTTTATATTTTGCCTGATTAGTTTGTATGTATAAAATGTCAATTTTATTATTAAAATAGCAAAGCAGATAGTTACTTGACCATAATCGCCACAGATTATTACAATTACTTTATGAATAAAAATGTGTTTTAATTACTTACTAAAAAATGTTTTGTATTGCACCATGGGAGAGTATATGAAAAGTATCGATAAATCTGTAGTGTGGAGAAAAGATATAAAATGTAGCTATCGATAATTATACGTATATTTTTTATTCAAATTGGTATGGGTTTTATTGAAAAATTTTAAACCGTTTAAGTCATCTCTTTAATGATGAATAATAGGATGTCATTTGGTCGCTATAGTCATCCCTTTTTGTTCTCATTGTATCTTTTGACCTAGCCTGGCTTTAAAATTGGTTCTCTATAAAAAAAATTGACCTGTTTTGAAATATTTGCATTGCACTCTTGATTATTTGACTGTGGTAGTCGATCTTTACTTAAAATTCGTATTTGTGATACTCCCCTTTTTCGGCCCTTAATTATAAAATTCCTCTCATCTTCAAATACTTTTTCCAATATTCACCGCGCCCTTTTCATTCGTAGTAAAACTATTGAATACGTGTCGCAAAAAATCCACTACGAACGTCGCCCTAACACCCACAGACAGGTTTGCGTGGTGTGATACAAGCCTATATCGTACAAGATAGTTTTGACCAGTACCGCACATATTAGTTTTTTTTTTCATTCAGTGCGTACTTGACTTTGTTCTTATATAGAATATTTATAAGATGTCACTTTCGCCAGAGAGAGATAACCTGATCTTTCGTGACGCACAAGCAATTTTTCATTTACAAGTCAAAATGTTCTCGTGTCGTAGTTAACGACGAACGATCCGAATACAAAACACCCACTTATTTAGAGAAAAAAAAACAACAAATTTTAATTTATTATAATTAATTATGTCGAACAACTTTTCTGCGTATTTCATGGACTGGTTTATACAATTATTGTTATTGTTCAAAGTTATCTTTTTTAATTTATTTTTATTTATTTTATTTAAACGTACAATATTAAACTACAGAATATTTATTATCATAATAAAGAAAACTTAAACTACATAGTTAAATTATCATACAATCTCAACAAATCCGCGGCATATTGCCAAGAAACAACGATAACCATAGAGCAGATCAGTTGTCGCGAATACAGTTGTCAACTTTTTGAATTCAAAGTGTATGAAGTTAATTTTTAGTTCCAGTAGGTGTATTAAAATTGATTTTCAGTATCATCACTCAGAGGTTTTAATGTGATATTTTTAAGTTAAGCCACTTTGGATTTAACAGTGATGGATTTAGTATTAACAACGATGTATAATTTTAATTTTGAATAAAACAGTTATAAAACCGATGTACGGTCGATCATTTTTTAAAGAAATCCCTTAGCTCAGCAAAGAACGTATGGTCTTTACGGATAAAGAATGGGATTAGAAATCGCGATTCATCGAGCTCGTACCGTCAGCATGCACAGTACCAATAGCGAAAACCCACTAATAACGATAAATCGTTATATAACGTTACATTATTCGGTTAATTGGAAATTTTCTATTAATGGGAAAACATATAAAAAGAATTGTATGCCCAAGTGGTTATATTACTTTTAAATTCAGTAGTACGTATATATATATATATATATATATATATATATATATATATATATATATATATAACCCCTGGGAAGGGTGATCGCTACCAAGCTATTTCTAATTTGATTTGTGTTGTTAATTGTAACATACATGATCGTAAGCTCTTATTTAAAAAAATAGTCCCGGTGGATTTCTTGCTAGTTCTTCTCAGGACGAGATTTTTTGCGAACCAGTGGTAATGAAAAAAATGACTTTCAATAAGTATTACATGTAATCCATATTGAATAAAAAAGTTTCTGTGTCCGTTAGCCTATGCTTGAAGCAGTTCAAACTATTTTTGTGAAGTTTACATGGAATTACATCATATATAGTTTATCTTACTCTTATTTAAAAGAAACATTAACACTTAGACCTCGGCAAAATATTAGTAAAAAAATGATAAAAAATGTCTTTTTTCTATATCATGGTTCGTAATTTCTAAAAGTCATTTGGTTACAGTTTCCTTTACATACGCTCGATTTTAATTGAACATAACAGAAACTTTTTTATTCAATATAAATTGTATATAATACTTATTGAAAGTCACTTTTTTCATTTACCACTTGTTCACAAAAAAAAAATCTCTGTCCTGGGAAGAACCAGCAAGAAACCCAGCAGGACAATTTTTTTTCAAATAATATCTTACAATCATGTTTACAATTAACAACACAAGACAAATTAGAAATAGCTTCGTAGCGATCACCCTTCCCAGGGGTTATTATCATCCATAAATTCCTTAATATTATAATAACCCTTTTTATACAATCTTAGTTTAATAAAATTAAAGTTTAATAAAATGAACATTGCGTATGACAAATTTTGTATATTTTCTAGGATTTTGTTGTAAAAGCGTTATACATCGCCCCAAGAATGAATTACTGACTCGGTGGAGTCGAGTAACTGGTACTACTAACTTGTCTGTTCCTAGTATTTACAGAATGAATATCACTTATTTTGCAAAACTACTTTTATTTGTGTGTACATTTACATAAATCTATTGAGAGGCCAGAGAAATTATATATTGCTCGAATGGCCCTCTTCTGTAAAATAAATATGATTTCAGTGTCATTCGCGTGTCCCCATAGCAAAATACCATACGACATAATGCTATGGAAATAACTAAACTAAACTATTCTAGCTGTTTCAACACTGGTAAGAGTTCTAATCTTTTTACAGCATATGCTGCAGAACTAAGTCTGCTAGCTAGTTTTGATATATGGGGAAGCCATTGAAGTTTTGCGTCCAGTGTGATTCCAAGAAAAATGGTGGTATCAACAAGACTCAGTTCAACATTAGGAGTTACGAATTTCATACATTTAGTTTTAGCTTCATTCAAATGCAAATT